AAAACAACGGGGTAACACAACGGGTAACCAAACACGGGGAAACAACGAGAACATGAGAAATGTCACGTTTATACTTGGTTATATGGATTATATGTGGTTATATGGGTTATATGTTGTTTTATGGGTTATGTAGGTTATTTGTGGTTATTATCCACAATCTTATACATATATATGTATGTTTTTGGTATGTTTTATCCACAATCACTTTTCAAACATTCTACCATATTACTTGTATATTATGGTAGCCGTATTCCAGGACCACATAAGAATGATTAAAAACAGTAAAGCAAACAACATTTATATTATGGAAATGCCGATTTTGGGACTAATGATTCCAAAGAAAAATGCAGCTGTATGCAATGGAATTACCATCGTTTTGTATGAAATGGAGGGGTGCAACATGGCACCAAAATTTAAGGGTTTTTTGCCCCGTTTTCCAAGATGGGCCGTGTATGAAATGATGTTGTTTTTTCCATTTCATACGGGGAATGGGTTCTTCCATTCCATACAGGTACAGTCAAGGGGGATCCCAACTCTATATATATATATACATACGTGTATAATGTGTATGTCTATCTATCGAGCGATCGATCGGTCGATCTATCTATCTATCTATCTCTCTCTCTCTCTCTTTCTTCAAAATCTGATCCTCTGTTTATTCAATTCCATCACGGTCAAACATTGTCAACCATCCTGCCACCCAATTTTGAATACATTGGGGGCCAAAGGTTGCGCTATGTTGTGCTGCTGCCACGACATACGACTCAGGCCCTGCTCTGGTGAAACAGGTTCCGTTTTTGCTGGGCGCAAAAGTCGGCAGGTGGCATGTCCCTGTCAGGCGGCCGGTGCATCTGGCATTGGCTTCGCCTGGCGATGGTGTGTTGGGTGACAAAAGTACCTGGTGTTGCTGGGCAAACCGTTCCCATCCCGGAAATGAAATCTATCCAGGGCCCAGGGAGTAAGAGCTGTCTGAGCCTGTTCAAAAGCCAGCTTTTGCAATGGCACAAGCCAGCCTTTTAAATCCAACATTGAAGACAAAACATGGAAATCCGATTGACATGTCCAAGCGTGACATTATCATCCAAAACAAGTTTTTGCCAGGTCCCAGCAAAGATCAGAAAATAATACATGAGGCAAACCCTATGATGAAGCATCGAGATAGTAGTGGATATGATAAATTTATAAAGTTCTACCAAACTGGCCGTGACTAACCCTGAAGTATGATTGTAGGACTATTTTGGTCGGATTTGATTTCTTGACAAGCATCCTAGGGGTACCCGGCAGTATGCACCAACAACATGTTCATTTTTAGCTGGTTAGTGTCTATTCCCGCTTATGGCTACAAAGGTAGGAATAAAAAATATCCCTCGAAGGTTTCCCCAACACCATACCCCATTGTACTCAGTCACATGGCTCCTTCCCTCCATACTGTACAAGATACGATTTGGTTCAAGTCAGAGAAAAATCCTCTGCGCAAAAGTTAGATGATTTTTCAACTTGAAACCTCCATGATTGTATAGATTCAATTTTGCCATTGAAACCTCCATTTTTTCTAGGACTTCCAATAGATTTCCGAGGACTTCCTAGCCCCAAACGTGGTCCAGGCCCGGCCAAAACGTGGTCTATCTCCAGCAGCCCACGCTGAAGTTCCTCCAATGCTCGGTCCACGGCATCCAAGTTGGGGGTGGCCTTGGTGACTCTCCCAGGGCTGTCGAATGATGATGATATATAATGATATATATATAGATATATATATATACACCGTATATACTGTAGGTAAAGAATTATATAGATACCATCTGCAGATTTCTTGCATGTTTTCGATAATAATGAGCCTACTTCTACTTGAAAATCTGGAGAAAACAGATTATGTAGATGTAGAGCCATGGCTGTTCAACCCGGGGTTCCTCGACAATAAAGCTGTGCCTTAAAATGTGAAAGGCATCAAAGTGGGCAAAGACTATCCGGCCTTTTGCCCAGTACAATTGGTTACCATCTTGATCCATCTTGGTCCAGCCACCGCAGAGTCCACGTCAAGTTGCTGAAGGTACCGTGCTGTGCTCACCATTGATGATACCATCTCGCACCAAGGCTTGATGTGTCTCCTGACTGGGCAAAGGGGGCATAGCCTGGCAGGGCCACCGTTCAAGGATCCCCCCCTTGTCACTTGCAGTACAAAAATGATACATTATAGATTACGTGATCTATACAGGTCTAAAGAAACCCATTTTTGCATAGACATCAATTTGAAGAAACGTCTACGTGCAAATGTGTATATTATATATCTTTGTGCAACACACACAAATCATAATCATGATGCAACATGTATGATCTATAAATCTATATAAATGGTTCTGGGTCAAAATCCATTTCAAGAAAACCTGTACCCCCGGTGAACGTCAAAATAGCTAGAGCTTGGATGTTCATATCTTCACTCCACATATGGTATGGTATGATTTTTAACCTACAGTAGCCATATATTTGTTTATGTAGTTGGTGGTTTTGACCCATCCCCCTCCAATATGCTCATCATCTCAACCCATCCCAAGTATGATTCAAACAAATCTGTGAAACTGCCAGATCATCATTTCTCAACCCATTGTATCTTCTTTTATCACAAAATCACCATGAAAATCACCGAAATTCCCCAAAAAACGGGTGGAAAACACGGGATCCTGCACCAGTTGCTCCAACTGCCGCGTGGCGCTGTCCAAATTCAGCGGCTCCGCTGCAGTGTCGGACACGGTGCTCGGGTTAAAGCGCACCGCACTGAGGCTGGGAGCCTCCTGAGCTCGGGTGTGAGACCCAATTTTAGTAAGTGATTACTTCATAATCTATGCGGTACAGGGTGTATTGCCGATTAAACAAACAATATATATATATATATGTGATTATGTGTGTGTTGATTTTCTTTACTTTTTTATTTAGCTATTTGTTTATACATGTGTAACAAAAAAAATATATATACATATGTAATAATTCAACATCCAATTGTGTAAAACCAGGGGAACTCACAAATGTTCCATGCGCAAACTGAGATAACACATGTTGATACCACTGACAACTGCTATCTTTACTTGATCGTCAATGTATTTTTGCATCTAGCCTTCAACCAATGGTCATTTCCATCTGAGAACCCCAACTGGAAACCATGGTCCTTCCTTTAAATATGTTGAGAAGGGCTCACTGGAGCCCAAAGGGCTTGTTGGAGATATTTAGAGCTTCTTGAAACCACAGGGGTAGTTTTTGGTGCTGGACCTACCCAAATTATATTCATATAACACAATGTTCTCATTGTATCCACACAAAATGCATTGACGGAGAGAATTTGATGGAACGCACGTATAATTACTATATAAAAGAGTCCGCGTGTTTTCTGTCATCAAAGCGCTTCTGTTGTTTGTGTGTTGGGCAAAAGCAACCATGAAGGGACTTCAATTTCACCGGTCGAGGTCCCACAGTGCACCTTCTGACTGGCTGCTCTCTTGCAGCCGCAATGACGACAAAAAATGGAATCCTGGCTGCCGGAGCTGAGATTCCATAGTCCCCATTGACTGTTCTTGCTATAAGTGTTGACCATTTCCATGTGAAACCCAGCAGAAGGATATTCAATTAGGGCTAATCAGGGCAATTTTCCTGCAGATTGATTAATCTCACTGCCAATTTGGGGACACTTCCTTTTAAACCCTTGGTCATCCACTTGGGGATGGTTTACCCAAAAGGTTGTCGATTTTCTCGCCAAGGCTACACAATGTTCAAAGGGAAAATAAAGCAGTGTTTACCAATCTAACCCGCAACATATAGCAAACATCTATGTTCTCTCAGATTCTAGATCATTTTAGATCTGTATCGCTACAATCCATCCAGACCTGGGCAAGTTACAGAAAAAACACAATGTTGGAAGAGTTCCGCCTCATTAGCCACCGACGTTGCGACGTAAGGTCGTTACGATTCACTGCGAGACTTCGCCACTTTCCCAGGTTCGCCTCTGTGAAGGTCCGCCCGCAGTTAGGGCAAAGCTCACCTCGCGCTGGTGAAAATAGTGGGTTGATTTCATGGTTTACCAGTCGTTTTAAGCATCAATACATGGGGACTTTTTGGTTTAAAATAGTGGTTTTAACCAAAACATGTGATTCAATGGGATGTTAATGGGCGTAATTATGTTGGTTTGCAGCCAACCGGCTATAATTAATCTCATCCCCTGATATACTGTTAAACAGCCCCCCCAGAAACCATGGTAAAATTTATGGAATGAAATCACATATGTGGGACACCACGGGATGGGGTGTTTACTATGAATGGAGAATGGGATTATTAAGGGGTGAATTACCATAGTGCCATAGGGCGCAATGGATATATATAATAATGACTGTTGTTCACTATGTTTGTTGATAACGGCTGATACTAATACATTCCACATTTAGTAAAATTATACTTTGGGTTACTGTAATGAAGCTATATAGCACGGTGGACAGTGGAATAGCATGAGAAAGAATGATGGGGATGGTGATACGATAAACTATACGGTGAAAATGGGTTCCCATAATTGGTGACAATAAATGTCAATATCACATGAAATAGTATGGTAATGTATGGTATAACCATCACACATTCTAAAACCCAAATTATGTAGATGCATCGTAATCCATCATTGATTGATTAAGAGGAATACTACCCAATATTTTTGGGGATGGTGGCCTGAAAATAATGATAATCATCAAACAACACAATTGGTTTATGATTAGCCCCGGGTTATACAACCCGATAATCTGCCTTGGCAAGTGAACTTCATGAAGATTCAAGGTATGATACAGTAGTGAGTAGTGTATTTCTGAATTGATTTGTTAAAATTGGAATTGTCAATATTGCATTACCGGAGCCTACTCATGCCTTCCAGAAACTGATGCTGCTCAAATTTATCGAGTTGAAACAGAATCTGCAAATCAAGACAGAAAGGGAATCCTGATGAAAAGTCAAGATGAAGTGGTGGTTATGGAAGAAACCTGGTCTTCTTGGATAGGGCTAGTCCCTGCTCCCAACACCTATGCCATGGAAATCTGGACTGTGGAACACTGTGCTACTTCACCGTGACCCAAAGGCATCCCATAGAACTCCACCCGAAAAGGCTCATCAGCAGTCCAAAAGTGCCACTGCCGTGGATATGACGTGTCCACGCATCGATGCCACTGGGCATCTTATTCCCACGTGCTTCACATCGTTTCACCATCGCTAAAATGCGCTACTATGATATGCCCTCATGTCATATGTTTTCCTCCAAAATAAACTAACAGTCCAATTTGCAGCAACAAGAAATCAGCAAAAGAAACACTTTTACCCCCCGGCAATTTAACATAGCTATGGGAGGTATATGGAGGTATGGTCCATTTATGGACTTGATATCAACAAATAGTGATTCTCCATAGTTATGTTCAATTACCAGAAGATCTATATACTTTAAATATCAATCGATTGATGATAGTAATCATTATCTAATCATTATCTAATCAATCTAAACATCAATTTTCTCTTCAGAAATCACTGAAATCACCCAACAAAAACTCAGTGAAAGAAGCCAACCTTCCCTTCCCTACCACTGAGCCACAGGGTTTTTCAGGACTTCCGTAGAAGATCTCTCGGGCGCTTTCCACGCGCGGCTCCGGCACTGGGGGCACCTCGTTGGGGAGGAGTTTTGGGACACTATGGCGACGGTTTATAGATGGCAACTATGGTTTATAGAGCGTTTAGCCCAACATTCACTATTAATTACGTATGTTTTTATATATATATATACATACATACATAACTGGACTCACCGAGCCCAGGGCACTTGCTAACCATGGGTTATTAAGCACTTGCCAAGAAGGATGACCGATTATAATTATTATAATGCAATAAATATCTGAGTCAATACGCATCAGCTGGGCCCCATATCCTTGCATTTAGCTGCATATGCATCCTTTTCAGTTGGTTCTGCAAGATCTGGAAGTTGGCTTAGAATCATCTATGTTCGAATCAGGACCTACCTAAAAAAATGCGGATGGAACAAAACCCCGGCCTAAAACTACAAACAATAATATTCAAAATGCATACAGTCCGTCTCGATGTTTCACAATTTTCATTGTAATTATACTATATTATACTCATAATCTGCAGCATTAACATGATTCATCTTTATCATTATTGATCCATCTTTATCCAACATGCCGCAACCAATTGGTTTTCCAAAACCAGGCCACTCCCAGCTTCCGCGTCGGGGGCTCAAAGGCCGTCAAACGGGTCGCCGTCACCGGCTCCCAGCGCAGCTCGCGGTCGCCGTCGCCCGCAAGCTCCGCCAACAGATTGCGTGAGCCGCGCCGGCCACGGAGCTTGGCTTCGCTTGCTGCGGGCGCCTCCGGCGCAGGAAGCGAAGGCGGTGCAGCTGCGGTCACGGCTTTCGGCGGCGGCTCGGGGGCGGGCGTCCTGGGAACACCAGATGAAGTGATGAATACAGCTGCACCTGATGAAACCATGCATCATGAAGATCATGAAGCCATAAATTGAAGATGACTCGTGCGATCTCCTGAAGAAGCAACTAAAGCAACTGGAACTAAGTGCTGATCCATTTCACATCTCCAACAGTCCTCTTGGTGGTTGCCTTGGGGGTGGCACGTCTCCTGGGAAGCGCATGCAGGTTTCCACCCTGATGCCATGGCCATCTGCACCACAGAGGTAATCTCAGGTGATCAAGAAGCGTGTTGGACAATCACCATTTTTGATGCTAAATCGAACTAAATGGGTGATGTTCATCCACTGTTCATTGTTCAAAGCAAACTGTTAAATTACAAAATGCTACAATTTATTTTGACCCACCCTCCATATGTATGTATATGTATATGTATATATATATAGCACATCATAGGGTTTTGATCCATCGCCATCTATCATTCAATAGCATTCAATAGCTACATAACATACATAGGCTCACCCTCTTGCAATCAAACATGTCAATGGACAAGCCCTCATTTAGTGCGATGAGTTTCGCATCATAAACCTCCGTTTATATAGCTTGATATAGTTTGTGGATGTTGCAGCCCGTCATGTTTGATCGCAGAACGGTCAGAAATTCAAGACATTTATTTATACCCTCCAAATACGGCCACAAACAACTGGCAAAACACACAAAGTAACATTGCAACTGCAAAACATATTTTTTTAACGATTACAAACGGATGGTCTAGCCATATATAATAATAACAATAATAATAATTGCATATATATACCATACATACCAACATTTGAATAGTTGATGATTACAAGTACTCTCATTTATCAAAACTGCAAATTCAAATGATCAACTTGTTAATTGAAAACAATGATTTTACATTATTTTACCATCAGCAAACAACAAGGATGTCACAATCTCCCAATGGCTTTTTGATGATTTCCCTATAACAAATTCCGATTGGTATGTCTTTAATTAAATGGCAAAATCCATTCAAATCCTTGGGGTTTCCCCAAAAAAGAATTCATGGGATTTACATCGAAATAAAATGATTACCAACATCAACATCCTTATCATCCTTGGTTTGTCCATCATTAAAATACATTAATCATTGGGCCATTGGGATACATTGGAATTTCCTCCCAACATCCATGGCTTCTCCAGCTGGTCCTGGGTCGCACCTCAACCGTGGCGCGCAGCTGCGGAACGCTCACCGAGGCGCCCAGGCGTAGCGGGGCACGCGGACGGGGGCTGGGAGCCTTGTCCTGGCTGGGAACCAATGGGAACCAATGGATTGAGCTGGTGGAAATATCTGGAAATTCTTGGCTTGTAGTTTGTGTTTTTGATGGATATTTTTTGGAAATGTGTTTTGTTTGTATGGTTTCAAATTGATGGAGTATGGTTGAATCACCAACAAGTGGGATTTCACCAGCAATAACCAACAATGGGGGGCTAAAATATACGGTCGTCTCTTAGGGGAATTTGTGCACCCTGACCAGGGTGCACATTTCTGACTGATGGTAGGAAAGGACCAAAAAGTCCCAGGAGGAGCTGGAAAATCATCGAAGAGTGACTAAACAACCTGCCGTAGGACATACCCTCATGCTTGGTTAAAAACAGCTTAGGCAACCAACAAGCGAAGCAGCTGAATATGGCTGACATAAGGTGTGCCACCAGTGCTTATTCCCCGAGCCCATCATGGACGACACGCCATCCATCCTCACGAAAATCCGGACAAAGGCTCACAGAAATGCAAGAATCTCCTATCAGAACATCTATATAATTAAAGGCCAAATGATTGAGATGGTTTTGATGGCTAACATCCTCAGCATGATTGATTCGTATCCACATTGACTGTTGGTGAGCATCTGTGAGACATTTGCAAGTATATATCCTCCAAATCTCTGCAGGTTAAGATTCAGTGGTCAAAATGCCTACCTGTTGAATGTGATATCTCTAGTCAACCCAAATTAGCAAATACCCGGCTAACTGACTGGGGAAAGTGCACCCCCCAAAAAATATAATATGATATAATATGTAATATGTGTTTCTTTTACAGGTGCTTATCAATCCGTTATAACCTTATACCCAAAAACATCTCAACAAAATAGAACGGACTCCGTTCCGGCAGTCAAACATGGCAACGGCAAATCCCCCATTTATGGACGATTTCCCTCTTAAAACCTTCACTTACAGGGGATTTCCCGGCTAGCCATGTTTGAGTACCGAAAGCTGTGTTACGATTGTACTTTTGCTCATTTGTTTCGGAAAAAATGGGCTCAAATGGAGCCATAGGCCGGTGCAAATCCCAGGTGCTTCGAGGCTTTTGCTGCTTCTCCGCTGCTTCTCTGCTCCCTTGGAGCTTTTGGCTTTCAACTTGCTCTTGGCCTCAAGGGCGTTTCATCAGGGCGTGGTGATCTTTGGTGATGCCGCAAGAACGTAGGGGCCCAGAGGAAAAAATGCGTGCATGCGGCGTGTGCCTAATTCTTGCGTATCAGTGATATTTGTAAATACTGCAACAGCCTGAGTTTAAGTTTCAAGAAGAACTGCAGCTGAATTCCAAACAATTTGCTAGACCATTTTAAGAAGAAAGGATGTTGACCAAAGTTAAGACGGTTGAAACAGGCTCTTACATCGTTGCAGCCTAATATTTCACCAATGGGTAGTCAGCATGTGGGAAATGATCAGCGGAACCCTATTCCTCTTTATCCGTCAGAAACAACAGTGCGCTATAGAAATTAGGCACAGCAAAGGCCCATAGGCAATAGGCAACTTTTCCTTCCAAGGACCACTGCTCTGGGATTCCCAACGTTTCCCCAACTATATAGTCTATCGTACTGTAGCGTGCAGGTTTAAGTGCACGCCTGCTGGGTTCTCAGTATCTTGAATTGTGGTCGATGTCATGGAATATCAACAAACTGGCAGGACAAACACTGACTAACATGCACTAATTTGGGTGTGGATTTGAACTTTAGACCCATGGACTCACAGAATGTGGTTATTGTTAGAGCATATGAGCATATACTACACACAGAGATATATATAATTATGTATATATATATATACACGCGCTTGTAATTAAAAAATAATACTAAAAATAAAAAATCAATAATGTGATTCTACTTGTGCCATCCATGTGGGGTATCCCATCTGGTGGATCAGTTACTCGATCCGGTATTTGAAGAACTGCCCGACACAGCGCCAAGTGACCGACCCACAATTCGTGAATGTCAACTCGTTTTTTAAATCAATTTTTGGAAATGTGAGATCCCCAGGCCTTGTTAGTAAATGGCGTATCAACTAATCATCGGACTGCTTTTGCTGGGAAAATCTTCACCGGAAACCATGTTTTTTTTCCATGAAGATCATGGAGTTTTCCTGTAATTGTTATGGCCACGATTGCCACTTCACAGCCCCACCTCGGCAGGCGCTTCACTGGGAACCCACGTGGCTGTCCTGGCCGTCCTGCGCGCGGCTCGGCGTTGCCGGCAACCAAACATGGCAACGGAACGCTCTCTATAAAGCCTATCAATGGAGGATTGGGGAAAATCATCTATATATAATGGATAATTATTTTCCATTGCCATGTAAAAAAACCGGAGGCTGTCAGAACAAGACAACGCAGAACTTAGAGACTTAGATGGGCCATAGAGTTAGTTCACTGATTCACTAGAGTGATTCACTAGAGATCGCGACCACTTTGGAACTGGCTATATCTCATGGGCTAAAAATCAGTTATGTACTCATCAGTCACTCAATCCCATGGCCGAACCAATTACAGTGACGAAAGTATCCCTCTGACACTCCAAGCTGTCGATATATAATGCAACAAAATCTGAAGTAAAAAATATATAATACAACAAAATCTAATATCATATATATATATATATCAATAAAAGACAACAAAATATGAAATTATATGAAATTTGTTTTAAACTAAAAAATGAAAATGTAAAGAAATATATATATATATAATAAAATAATAATAATCCAAAATAATATATCGAAAAAAAAAATACATTTAAAATAAAGTATACTTTAACATTATCTAAGTTCAAGATACGTGCTTGATATCCAGCTATAAGATAGGTACGCTACGCTTGGTACGCTTGGTGCGCTTGGTACGGTACGCTTGGTGCGCTTGGTACGCTTGGTACGCTTTGGGTAGGTACGCTTGGTACGCTTAGTAAGGTACGTTTATACGCTTACCAACCGTACCGACCTTACCAACCGTACCAGTGAACCGTACCACCGTACCGTTTAAGGGGGGGGTCAAGGGGGGTACGGTACGGTGGTACGGTTCACTGGTACGGTTGGTACGGTCGGTACGGTTGGTAAGCGTACCAAACGTACCTTACTAAGCGTACCAACCGTACCAACCGTACCGTACCACATGTACCAACCGTACCGTACCAAGAAAACCAAACCTACCAGCCGTACGTACCAGACATGTTTGGATCTTACTTAAGGCCTCTACCACCTATCTTGAACCTAGCTATTTTTAACATATAATATCAAACATATATAGCATTATTTTACAAACGCTTAAAAAATAAAAGACATAATATAATATCAAACGATAATATTATATCAAAAACACATATATATAAATGTAGTATACTAAAACAAAAATACCTACCTAGCAGTCTACGAATCTATTCATCTATTTATCTATCTATCTATCCATCCATCTATCTATTTATCTATTGATCAAATCTATCAAATCTATCAAATCTAATCTATCTAATCTGTCTAGTCCCTCTAATCTATCTATATAATCTATCTAATCTGTCAGATCTATCTAATCTATCTAATCTATCCAATCTAGCTAATCTATCTAAACTATCTAACCCGTCTAATCTCTAAAAAAATCAAATCTCTCTAATCGATCTAGTCTATCTAATCTATCTAAAATATCTAATCTATCTAATCGATCTAATCGAACTAATCTATCTAATCTATCTAATCTATCTAATCTATCGAATCTATTTAAACTATCTAATCTAACCTATCTAATCTTCTAATCTATCTAATTTATCTAATCTATTCAATCTGTCTGATCTATCGAATTTATCTAATTTATCTAATCTATCTAATCCATCTAATCTATCTAATCCATCTAATCTATCTAATCTATCTAATCTATCTAATCTATTGAATCTATCTATGTAATCTATCTATTTTATCTAATCTATTCAATCTATCTGATCTATCTCATTTATCTAATTTATCTAACCTATCTAATCTATCTAATCTATCTATTCTATTCTATCTAATCTCTCTAATCTATCTAATCTATCTAGTCTATCTAATCCATCTATATAATCTACCTAATCTATCCTAATCTATCTATCTATCTATCTATCTATTTATCTATCTATCTATTTATCTATCTATCTATTTATCTATCTCTCTCTCTCTCTCTCTGTCTCTCTGTCTGTCTGTCTGTCTGTCTGTCTGTCTGTTTATCTATCTATCCATCCATCCATCCATCCATCTTTCATTATCTATCTATCTATCTTATATGCACGCGGTGGAAGACTATGTGCCTTCACGATCATGAGGGATTATCAGGGTCAAACGTGGTCAAACAGTCACTTTGGGAGATGATACCTGCCAATCACAGCTGATTCCTGGTTTCAACCCCTCCAAAAACCATTAGTCATTTGGGATCATCATTCCAAAGATCGAAAACAAAGTACATATTTAAACTTCAAAGCCACCAAACAAAGCATCAAAACACTATCCCAGTGTTTATTACGCAACATTTGCCAAAAATTAGATGGTCAAACCCTGATTTGCAACCACTAATGAATGATGCTGTGGATGGTTGCAAAATCCTGCACCAGTTGGAAGATGGAAAACATCCCGCTAAAATCCCATGAAATTTACCGGCGTTTCATATATGATAAGAATTCCAATAGTTTTCAACTGGTGGATTTCGCAACCATCCAGAGTCATGGAATATCCCCCGCCTGTCTGGCCGCTTGGCACTTTTTGGGCCGGCTGAGGGGGCAGAGGCTGCACGTCGAGGGCCGGGGCGCCTGCGGATCTGAAGCTGAAATCGTTTGGGTCCAAAAATCTCGGGGTTCCCCCACATGGACAATGAAAAAAATAATGGCCATGAGAGTAAGGGATAGCCTCTCTTCAGGCTATATTGTGGATCAAATTCATGTTGATGTAACCAAACAACATGATACAACATATCATTCAAACTTGGGATTTGAATTGATTTGAACCAAACAAACTTGGACATTAACTACTGAGCTTGAACCTGTTGCCAGAACTTGCTGCAGTGCAACATTTCACCAGCAAAAAGTGTGGCTTTTAATAACACAAGCAAATAGGTGATGCTGCAGAGACACCCACCAAACGCACCTCCCAGGAAGGTATGTGTGAAAATGGTGGGTGGGCACAAAGCAAGCAATATTCAGCGCGTTTGCATTAACATTTAAGATATTCAGCAGTTGACTAGTTTTCTTTCCTGTGTTGTGCATGCATACACTGTTGCTTGTTTGTCTGCGCAGCTATTTATTAATCAAATTACAGCAATCTTATTGACGCCCATATGCAACTGCATATATAGATTTGTTAGTTCTCTGTCTAAGCGCAGGATCAAACCCCAAGAGCTTCTCTCTCTCCCTCTTTACATTTATATACATATATATGTTTATGTAGAAACGTAAAGTCTTACTACACGCGTGGCAAAGAGCGTTTCTTTTTGTGTACTAAAACTATGCACACACACATATATATATACATAATACATATTATATTTTGTTAAACCCTCTAGTCTAGTAGTTAAACATAACAATGTAAAATTCCCAATTTGTAGGTGATTTTCTCATTCCAAGGCCATCTAAAGCCAATTTGGTTCCGGGATTTCCAATTGGAATTCCCAGCTGGCCATGTTGGTGTCACCATGCTCCACCTCAGGCATCGTCTGCAACAGTTGCAGCAGGGGCAAAGCTGGCCATTGCGGAAGGATTGCAGCCGTCCCTGGGTGCCCATCCTCAGGTTGGGGTCATTTAGCCATGAAAACTAATTTAACATATGGGCATTTCAGCAACTACAATAGGTAGTTGAATGGGATATGATGTGGTACAATGGAATATACATAAATAAATATACATCTTATCCCGAGCCTCAACCAAAATGGTGGTGAAAACAGCACACAATTATATACATGGCCACTTTTATGCATAGGAAAATGCTACTTCCAGCATTCCCATATATTCACCAAAGGCAAAGCATGAGAGTCGTGGGCAAAGTTCGAACCTGATGGGTGGCCCAACGTTGTAGGGATGTGGTACAGTATGAGCACAAAATGGTGCATTGACGTAAAGGGATGTAAATGGATCAGTCTCTATCATCTTTGGAAATCCATTTCCGTAGCTGAAAAGCGACCTAATTGAGGTCTGCTGTAATGATGACTGTTCAAACATCATTTACAGCTGGGATCCTAAAGCCTCTGAAATTCCTATGTTATCTAATCATAGCTAATCTTTCATTACTTCATGGGGAAACATCCCGGGTCCTTTTCGCAGCGCTTGGCGCCGAGCATCTGCAATGAAAGCCGCTCCAGCAAGCCTAAGAGCTCTTCATCCACGGAACGCCGTCCTGGGCGCTTCTACGCTCTCTTCTGATTCCATGGTCTGTCTAGAAAATGGGGCCATATCTCCCAGAAATTAAGTTGCAAAACGATTATAGTATATTATAATATGATAATCCATTGGACTACTACCCCAACTCATTCTGTATCTACCCGAACACTACCGCGGATTGTTCTGTGGTTGATAAAGGCAATGAACTGAGATTCGTAGGCATCTGGCTACAAAACTCAAAGCCCAAACTTGGGTTGCTGCAAGAAGGACATGGACGCTCCCATCATTTTGTGGGTCATGTGGTGCCCTTTTGCAGCAAAAAATACCGGACCTAAAGAATCGACATGGATGCATTTTTTACATGCATATGAATTTCTACATGTCCATGTGCAACCGTATGCAATATATATATATATATATTAAGTATATAAATAAGTAAATAGTAAGATATACAATACACACCGTACAGTCACCCCGAATATCACCCACATATTCGATCCCCTCTGAAAAGTTCAACTTCTACTGGAATATGGAGCCACCATAGATCCACAATGTGTAGATTTCTTCCATCCATTGATCCATGGATGGATTTTTCTTGTTGTCAATGCAGTTCCAAGCCCACTCTTTCGGCCTCGGGCTTTGTCTTTGTCAGCGCCAATGGTTGTCATGGCTAACCATTCGCTGCGGAGCGCCACAACACCCTGGGGTGAATGTGCTGGGGCTCTGTCAGGGTCCAGCAATGAATGCCATGGAAACTCTGTGATATGACTCTGTGAAACTGGATGCACAAATTTACAGCTACGGACTGAATTGGATCTTACCAATTATCAGTGCTTGTGGAATAGTTTCATTCCCAATTTAAGATACATTTCACAGTGTTGCGTGGAGTGGTGGCCATCTTTAGACATTTTAGACTATCTTCCTGTCTCTTGAGCCAGCCATTCCTCTGGTTGAGAGGGAACCCCCAAACAAAGCACATGGCCTTTGATTTGGGACGCGTCCGGCGAAGTTTGGGACACCTTGAACCTGAGGTGATAGGCAAAAACCTGGAGATCCATAAGCATTGCTCCAGCTCAGGCGGTGATGAATCTCTACATCCAGGGGGATTTGCTTGGAGATGTTTGGCAAAACAGTCCTCAAACAAAGCGATCAAAGTTCTCGAATAAGAGGTTAGTTTGGGTTTTTCAAGTCTTGATGTCTTAAATTGTTGTTCTGCAAAGAAACCAACGGCTCAAAACTTGGCTCCCAGGTCCCCGGCTTTCACAGCGGGACGTCCTCGAACGAAACAGGCGCTGCCACTGGGAGCCTCGTGCAACAAAACTTGGTTATAAGTTTCTTTTTAGCCGCAGCCAGTGATGTTGAAGGCTTCGGTCATTATCAATATCCAAAATATCAATAATGATACGCGAAGATTGCGCGTCTGCAATTTCTGCCGAGGTCACGAGGTCTGACACGTTCTCGGACTGGAACCTACGGAATAATGTCAAACCTGGATGAATAAACCACGGTTTATTAATTAGGGTGTGCTCCCCAACTAGTGGTAATCTATGGTAGTCTAATACTCAAATGGTACCTCCCCAATCAAACTACCTAGGCAGCCTAGGGGTTTATTAATCCAGGGTTGATATTAGCCATAAAAAAAAAACACGATCCATCGTGGACACAATGTGCTGTACGCTGCATTGATCACGGTCGTGATCAAGCGCAGACATGAGTTACTGGCCGCATATATTTCGCTGTGACTGAGTGACATTGGAAACGTCGTAAAACTCTTGAAATCATTACTGGTTGGTCGTTGCAACCTCTCTGAAAAATATTTGTCAGTTGGGATTATTCCCAATGTATACCAAAAAAATGATCCAAACCACCCACCAGATTAGAATGCTGCGCAAAGATGTTGCTCATCTTCTCAGTTGCACCATTGCCACAGCGTATTCGCCATCAGGCGCTCTGCGCACAACGACGCTGCTGTCCTAATTCTCGTGGAATCTTGTAGTCATCACGAGTCATCCCGGACAACCCAGTGAAACCATCACCAGCTCGTCAGGGTGGGAATCACGGTGGCCACGCAAAAGGTTCACTGAGGCCTCCTTCGAACTTACAAAACATGACAATGGGAGGGCGTAATTTTGGAATGGAGGAAAACAAACAGAAGATTTTTCAATGATTTTCTCCGGTCAGTTTAGAGTACTGCATGGTATCTTCAATAGTCATTGTGGCCAATTGCCGTTCCGCATGCAGGAATCCCATGGGATTGCTATTTTGATTATTCTGCTTTCTAATTGGGCGCGCTCCAAATGGGCGTCATTTCCAGACAGCGGTGGGGTCACGGCTTCTACATCTTTTAGTCATTTCATCATGGGACGGGTCTTGGAATAAACTTTAAAGCCTGATTTGAGTACGGCATTCCTAGACCCAAGCACCCATAAAAACATGGGATAACCCCACATGTTAACAAATTCACCATACTTAGACTGAGCATAGAAAAGCAAGAAGGGAAGAGGAAATATGAGTGTGTGTATGTATGTATGTATGTATGTATGTATGTATGTGCATGTACAGGTGTGTCACTTTGGTAGTGTGTTAACGATATGTGTACCGGGTGTAAGATGCAGTTTGTAATATATGTGATGTACGTGCGGATGTTATCTAACTAATCAGCTATCTAGCGATCGATCCATCTCTCTATCTATACCTATCTATCTATCTGTCAATCTATCTATCTATCTATCCTTCTATCTTTCATTTCTGGCGCCAAGTCCCACACCTGCCACGCAAAAGCCATCGGCAGAGCGGCGGAGACCAAGGGACACCGGAGGGACGCCAGGGCGTACATCCGACCTCTTGGAGGGAGTGAGGGAGTGAGGGAGTGAGGGAGTGAGGGAGTGAGGGAGTCGAGGGAGTGAGGGAGTGAGGGAGTGAGGAGGGAGGGAGCGAGGGAGTGAGGGAGTGAGGGAGTGAGGGAGTGGGAGGGGGGGGAGCGAGGGAGTGAGGGAGTGAGGGAGTGAGGAGGGAGGGAGCGGGGAGTGGGAGTGAGGGAGTGAGGGAGTGAGGGAGTGAGGGAGTGAGGAGGAGGGAGGGGGGGAAGGGGAGGGAGTGAGTGAAGGAGGGAGTGAGTTGTAAGGAGGGAGTGGAGTGAGGGAGTGGAGTGAGGAGTGGAGTGAGGAGTGGACGTGAGGGAGTGGGAGGGGAGTGGAGTGAGGTGAGTGAGGTGAGTGGGTGGGGTGGGGTGGGGGTTGGAGAGTGGCGTGTGGCGTGGAGGTGCGGAGTGAGTGAGTGGGGTGGGTCGGGTGGGTGGGTGGGTGGGGTGGGTGGTGAGTGAGTGAGTGAGTGAGTGAGGAGGAAGGAGGAAGGAAGGAGCGGATACAGAACTAAAAACAAAAAACCCACACGTCAATGTGGGGAACAATGTATCTTACACCGTTTTGTTTTTTTAAATCATGTCAAATTTCAATCGGAAGATCATCGCGATGGTGGATCCAGCAAGCCACGTCTGCTACACGGAGAGTATCCCGTTGGTAAAATCACTTGGAATTTTCAGGACCCCACGCCACGCAGTGACCGCTCGTCCTTGAAACACTGACGCTTCAGGATTCGAATGCACCCCCAGTATCCTCCAGTCGAGGAGCAAATCCTTTTAAATCGCAAAGGCCGCCGACAGCAGGTCTTTGAATTGTTCCAAAAGACTGCTGTCATTTGGCGAAGGGAAGGGTTACACGATGCGAAGAGGTGTGGCAAACTCCCGCACCGCCGCGCTGGTTTTTCGGAATCCAGAAGTCCAGGGAGCAAAGGACAGGCTAGGGATTTGATAATCTGAAACACTGGTTTAGTCTTCCAAAACAGTAGAAATTTTTAGTTGACCACTAGTGTTGTTAATAAGATATTCAGATATAAATTGGTATGTTGGGTATCATTTTACTTTTCTATCTGCTTGCATCATCCGAAAACCTATTCATATTCATTCTGGGGGCTGCGGGGGGATATTGAATGGGTTTCTCCAAGAATTGGGCGTACCCCAATCGCAAAGCCATAGGGGGGACGATGGGGACGGACATCAAAAGTGCTATTCACCGGCTGATTTTAAAACCAAGGTACATACCAGAGGTTTGAGCCATACCAAGATTCAAATTTTGTGAGAATCAACCAACCAATTGTTTGAGAGAAACCAGCGAGTACCAGTTTTTTAGAAACCAGGGAGTGTCAGTTTGAGAACCAAACTGCGACTAAGACGGAACAAAACATGGATTCATCATTGAGGGGAACGGTCTTACAAGAAAGCAATTTCTAGTCATAGTCATATCAAAACAAGTAGTCGCAATGGGTTTCTAGTGGTTCCCTTCAACCAATCGGGAAGGGGCATTTTTGTATAGATATGCTGTGCAGCAGGGAATCAGGTGTGGAACATGCTTGGGTGCAAGCAAGATCAAGCAAGCTCATGACAAAACACTCATTCTATTTACATGTTCTGACGCAAAACAAAAAACATAAGCCCAAAGAGTATCCCCAACAGCCAGAAACAAAAACAGTTGCCAAACAAGCAATGAGTGAAGTATGTTTATTGCCCCGCCCTTCTTACTCTAGAGGTCACATGCAAGGCGCTTTTCCACACGCGTTTGCAATACTGTGGCCAATATTCCCGAAGCTCGTGCGAAGAGTTTTTCCCAAAGAACTGCTGTCCGCCTCACTCTTCACTTCATCTACGAAACATACATCATCCACATCTCTTATGTCCTTTATATCACCTACATCTTCTATACCATCTTCTACACCATCTTCGCTAGATCTAGATCTACATCTACATCTACACCATCATCATCATCATCATCACCTACATCTGTCTCACCTACATTATCTACACCACCTACACATTTTTCCATCAACTTCATCTATGTGACATGTGTGTAAAATTGCGATTTTGCAAGGTCAGGCACAACCGTTTCACGCAAAATGATTGTCCAACGTCAAAATTGCGATTTTCTAACACCGGATGCAACCCTTTCGCACGACATGATGGTCGAACGTCAAAAACTTACGTAAAATTGCGTGTGTAAAATGCTGCTCTGTGGAATTGTTTTTTTCTGTGGGAACGCGTCTGTGTGTAAAGGCTTCTCTGTGTAAAAGCTTCTGTGCGTAAAAGCCTCCGTGTGTACAAGCTTCTGTGTGCAAAGGCGTCTGTGTGTAAAAGCTCGTGCGTAAAAGCTTCTCTGTGTAAAAACTTATATATGTGGAAAAGCTTGTGTGTGTGTGTAAAAGCTTCTGTGTGTAAAAGATTCTCTGTGTAAAGGCTTCTCTGTGTCAAAGCTTCTGTGATTCTCTGAAAATCAATCTGTGTCTAAAAGCTTCTGTGTGTATAGGCGTGCATATGTCAAAGCGTCTCTGGGTAAATGCTTCTGTGTGTAAAGGCATCTGTGTTCAAAAGCTTCTGTGTGTAGAAATATCTGCTGCATCTGTGTGAAGAACTTTTGTGTAAATGCCTCTGTGTAAAGACCTGTCTGTGTAAAAGCTTGGGCATTTGTGTGTTTAAAGTTTCTGCGTGTATAAGATTGTATAAGCTGCTCTGTGCAAAGGCCTCTCTCTGTGTAAAAGCTTCGGTGTGTAAAAGCTGCTCTGTGTAAACCCTGCTCTGTGAACAAGCTTCTATGCGTAAAAGCGTCTGTGTGTAAAAGCTCTGTGTGTAAAGGTGTGTGTGTGTGTAAAGCTTTTGTGTGTGTAAATGCTTCTGTGT